TTTTTTTGCGCAGTGTTAGTTTAAAAATAGTGTTACTGCACATACACACATACAAAAGTGCAGATTTTATTCTGTAATTTGTCTTGTTTAAAATGACACTAAAATTTTGATTCTGGTATAAAGCATCAAAGTTATTCACAAATTAAATAAAGTGTTTTTTTTTTTTTTCAATTTTGCGCTTTTTTTAAATGTGAAATTTGTAAACATATGTTAAAGGAGTAAAAATATTAACAAACAAAAAAAAGTTAATATATTATTAGTTAATAAAATAGAAACTTAGGCTACGTTCACACTAGCCTTGTGTGCAGGCGGCAGAGAGGCGTTTGGGAAGCGTTTTTACCGCTTCCCAAACGCCTCTGCCAATTCTGCACATTACAGCACATGGTGCTGTTCTAACGGGAGCGTTTGCGTTGCGTCGCGGCAAAACGGACGCCTCTGGACGAGTCAGGAGGCTTTGAAGCCTCCTATTCTCGTCTATGGTGCCGCTCCGCAAACGCCCGGCCGGCGTTTGCGGTGCGGTTGCGACGCGGTTGCGGGGCGTTTGCGGAGCGGTAACACCACTCAAACTGCATTATAGGCGTTTGTGGGGCGTTATTAACGCTCGGCAAACGCCTAGCAACCGCCGCTAAACCGTGCATGCGGCGTTTGCGGAGCGTTTGCCGAGCGTTAATAACGCTCCGCAAACGCCGGACCAACGCTTGCCAAAAGCTATAGGGGCGTTTGGCAAGCGTTGGCAAAACAGCCTAGTGTGAACGAGCCCTAACAAACAAAATCAGCAGGAAAATAATAATTTAATGGAGAAGGAGAACATAGTTAATTAGGGCCGATTAGCATACATTAAGGGTTTAAAAACAGAGGAACATTCAATTAAAAAAAAAAAAAAAAACACTTTTTCTTACTTGTCAGGTTGCTTGCCGCCCGCAGCAGTGGCAGCTACAGGCAAAGCGGCAGACGGGTACGTTGCTGGGGCTGTACTAACACAGGGGGGACACAGTGAAATTAAGATCCCGGTGAATGGAACCCGGTGATCATGTTTTTTTTTAATTACTTTCCAAACGCATTGTGAAGGCGAGTGGCGGCTCTGGGCTCCTATTTCAGATTGTGAATGTGCCTGCGCCCCCCCCCCCCCCCCCCCCCCCCCCCCCGCTGCCTCCCATCGGTCAAAGGAGAGAAGAGAAAACACTGTGAGTAAAAGCACTATATTTTACACACACACATTAGATCAGCACATTTAACACTTGGATCGCCCCTTTGATCACCTCATCACCCAGCCACTGCCATTAGTACAGTGTCAGTATATAAAATGTTTTACTGATAACTGTATTACTGCCACTAACAACATCAGATAGCATCAGGGTCTGTAAGTGTCCCTCCCAGCCAGGGTCAGCTAGCGTTAGATTGCCCGCACACTAATCGCACTCACGCTTTAGGTCACTGATCACCGCCATTACTAGTATAGTATTTGTACGGATCAATATATTGATCATGAACAGAACTATACTAGTGCCCACTTTGTATAGTGTCCTCAAAAATGCAGTGTTAGCAGCAGGGGCGGACTGACAACTCATGGGGCCCCCGGGCAATAGGGCATCATGGGCCCCTGTGTCCTTGCCCAAACTCAAAAAAGCCTATGAAAAAGGTACCAGGGGCATCTCATGGGGCCCCCTACCAACCCCGGGCCCTTGGGCAGTGCCCGAGTTTCCAAATGGTCAGTCCGCCCCTGGTTAGCAGGATCAGCCCCATTCGCTGCCAGCACTTGCGTTTAGCCCCTCCGCTGTTTTTCATGGAAGATTTGTACCAACTGATTGTGGGCCAAAGCCATTTATATGCACAAAAATACATGGCTGCCCACCCAAAATCAGCTCTTGCCAGACAATTTGCCTGGAAACCTATCACGGTTTCTGAATGTAAAATGTTTTTGGGCCTAAGCCTCAACATGGGCATTACAAAAAAGAATGAATGGCGTTCAAATTGCTCCACAAACTGGATTCATCATATGCCTGTGTTCTCTGCTGTTACATATATGCCCAACATGGACCAGCAGCTACAGGCATCATCCTGGTATCATTTTTTTCAGCTGGTGGTCGCAGTCGTGCGCTGGAGAGACTATGGCGCAAAACCAGGTCCCCTCATGCATTCTCCCTCTACAAATCTGCCTTCCTCACCTACACCTCCTCCCTCCACGCCGCCAAGCAGGCCTACTTCGTTAACCTGATCAACACCCCTCTCCACCTGCCCTCGCCGACTCTTCTCCACCTTCAACTCCCTGCTCTCTCCCCCCCCTCCTCCACTCAGTACCTCACTTACCGCCCACGAGATTGCCACTCATCTCCACAACAAGATTGACGCAATCCGCAAGGACATAGTCAACTTGCAATCTACCTCCCCATCTAGCCTCCCCCTTCCATCACCCCCTCATCTCTCCCCTCCTCTGACCTCGCAACGGCACTGCCCCCCCACACACCCAAGGCCCTGCCTACCGTAACCCCCCTTCACTGCACTCCTTCAGCCCTACTACCACTGAGGAAGTCACCAGAGTCTTCTCAGAAGCCCGCCTCACTACCTGCCCCCTGGACCCTATCCCCTCTCAACTCCTCTGGTCACCCCCCTCTTCCCTCATCCGCTGCTCCCTTACCCACATCATCAATCTCTACCTCTCTACTGGCGTCTTCCCCTCCCCCCTAAAACATGCGCACATCACCCCCATACTCAAAAAGCCCTCCCTGGACCCCACTGACCTCAACAACCTCAGACCAATTTCCCTGCTGCCACTCACTTCCAAGCTCCTTGAGCGCTTGGTCTACGAATGCCTAAGCGCCCACCTAACTGACAGCAACCTCCTTGACCCACTACAGTCCGGCTTCCGTCCCCTACACTCCACCGAAACTGCCCTCCTCAAAATCATCAAAGATCTACTAACCGCCAAAGCCAAAGGCGACTACTCTGTCCTCCTTCTCCTAGACCTCTCCGCGGCCTTTGACACAGTCGACCACCCCCTCCTCCTTAATAAATTACTCTCCCTTGGCATCAGAGACACCGCTCTCTCTTGGTTCTCGTCCTATCTATCCCAACGCTCCTTTAGCGTTTCCTACAACGGTGCCACCTCCTCTTCCCTCCCCCTCTCTGTTGGGGTCCCCCAGGGCTCTGTCCTTGGACCCCTTCTCTTCTCCATCTACACCTCCTCCCTTGGCAAACTCATACACTCCCACGGCTTCAATTACCACCTCTACGCTGATGATACTCAAATCTACCTATCCACCCCTCACCTCACCCCCACATTCTCCGCCCGCATCACTCACCTCCTAAACGACATCTCTGACTGGATGTCGCTCCATTTCCTCAAGCTCAACCTCTCCAAAACCGAGCTTCTCGTCTTTCCCCCTTCCTGCGCCCCCCCCCCATCCTTTCCATCACTACCAACAACACCACCATCAATCCCGCCCCAGCAAGCCAAGGTCCTTGGCATCATTCTGGACTCAAACCTTTCCTTTCAACCTCATGTCAAATCACTTACAAACACATGCAGGCTCCACCTCCGGAACACATCGCCAAGATACGCTCCTTCCTTACCCCAGACACCACTAAACTACTCGTACACTCCCTGATTATCTCATGCCTTGACTACTGCAACTCCCTCCTCACCGGCCTACCCCAGTGCAAACTCTCCCCGCTTCAGACCATCCTGAACTCAGCTGCCAGACTCATCCACCTCACCAGCCGCTCCACCTCTGCCACCCCCCTCTGCCTCTCCCTCCACTGGCTCCCCATTGCCCAACGCATTAAATTCAAACTGCTCACTCTGACCTATAAGGCCATTCACAACACTGCCCCTAACTACCTCACCGACTTGATTCCCAGGTACCACCCTACCCGTACCCTTTGCTCTTCACAGGACCTCCTTCTATCTTGCTCCCTGGTCTCCTCCTCCCACGCACGACTGCAAGACTTCTCCAGGTCCTCCCCCATCCTCTGGAACTCACTACCCCAATCCATCAGACTGTCACCTTCCCTCCTCACCTTCAGGCGCTCCCTGAAAACCCACCTCTTCAGGGAAGCCTACCCCACCCTCACCTAACAGCCGCTGCCCTTCCCTCCTCCTACCACTCCATCCCCCACAGCCATTTCTTCCTGTACCTCTACCTCCTCCCTCCTAGATTGTAAGCTCGAAAGAGTAGGGCCCTCTTACCCCTTGTGTGCTGTTTGATGTTACTGTACTGTTTCATGTATTGTCCCCCCCCTCTATTGTACAGCGCTGAGCAAACCCTTTGGTGCTATATAAACTCGAATAAATAAATAAATAAATAAATGTTTGGTATCTATTTATTCAGTGTAACATCATCTTTTAGAATTTATCAAACAATTGAGCAATATATTGTGTTTTTGTGCATTAAGATTCAAAAAAATAAATTTTTTCCAAAAAAGTAGCGTTTGAAAAACCGCCGCACTGTGTGTGACGTAAAAAAATTACAACACCCAAAAAAAAAAAAAGATAAAAATTTCATTTGTGTAGTGTTGCATGACTGCGCAATAGTCATTCAAAGTGCGACAGCACTAAAAGCTGAAAATTAGCCTGGGCAGGAAGGGGGTAACAGTGTTCGATAGGCAAGTGGTTAACGTGTTGCTTTTTAGATTGTTTTTCTTTTGGTACACTTAAAGCAGGAATTGTTTTGTATCTATTGCTTCTGGAGACTACTGGTTATTTCCCTCACTTAATAGAGATTTCCTTTCACTTCCTGTGTTTGGCTATGGGACAGGAAGTGAAGAGAAATCTCCCCAATAGGATACACATTCTCTATCTGAAACGTTAATAAAAAGTCCGGCCTTTAGTTCTACTTTTACTAACTATTAAAGGCAATTCGTAAAACAGCCACAAGATGGCGCGGTGACCCAACGCTGGCTTAGGACTATGGGAAACTAATCAAGCCGTGCCTTGCGTGTTGCCAATCCCAAGATGGCGGTCGGTGAACGACGTGCGGGTCACAGAAGAGTGTAGCCGGGCCATGCTGCTCAGTGTCGGTCGCTGTGTCCTGTGCGGTGTTCGCACGGGTCCCGGGAGGAGACTGTGGGGCCGACGCTATAATGTCCTCCCTGGCCTGGGCTCCGCAGTGCAGTGGAAGCGGAGGGTGGGTGATAGCCGGCGCCCTCCATGCTTGGAAGGACTGGTGAGGAGCGATGAGTGGAGCGGATACCTGCAGCGATGGGAGGCCCAGGCGGCTCAGACTGCAGGGACAGCAGCCGACCAGCAGAGGGCAGCGTCCTGGGAAGGTGGAGAGAAGGTGGGCTGGAGTAATCGGCAGATCCTACCTGTGATAAAGGAGCTGAGAGCCAAGGAGAGAGAGCTGAGTGATCTCCACCAACTCATGGCAGGTGAGAGCAGCAGGCCTCCTCCCTCCATCTCATCAGTCTACACTCCTCATAGGGCACTTTCCCTGGGGCTCAGTTACACTTTAAAGTGGAGCTCCACTCAGAAGGGGAAGTCTTGCTTTAAGGCGTCCTCTCCCGGTCTTCTTTAAAGTGGAGCTCCACCCAAAATGGGAAGTCTCGCTTTAAGGCGTCCTCTCCCGGTCTTCTTTAAAGTGGAGCTCCACCCAAAATGGGAAGTCTCGCTTTAAGGCGTCCTCTCCCTCCACCCAAAATGTCTCCTCTTTAAAGTGGAGCTCCACCCAAAATGGGAAGTCTCGCTTTAAGGCGTCCTCTCCCACTCTTCTTTAAAGTGGAGCTCCACCCAAAATGGGAAGTCTCGCTTTAAGGCGTCCTCTCCCACTCTTCTTTAAAGTGGAGCTCCACCCAAAATGGGAAGTCTCGCTTCAAGGCGTCCTCTCCCACTCTTTTTAAAGTGGAGCTCCACCCAAAATGGGAAGTCTCGCTTTAATGCGTCCTCTCCCCCTCTTCTTTAAAAATGGAGCTCTACCCAAAATGAGACATTCCACTTTAAGCCTTTGTCCCCCACTCCCCAATTAATGATTGGCACCTTTGGGTAGCGGGTACCCGAATTTGACAGGTACACGCTCCCACTTACGCTGCAATCGCCTACGTGATCGGAAGTGGAAGTTGTCCTCCCCCCTCCCTCCCTTTAGTTTTCTTTTTACACGTGACAGGTCCCAGAAGACTACGTTGCCATTCACAAATGCAGTGCTTCTCGTGCATGCGCAGTGGGCACCTGGCTGTGAAGCCACAAATTGTCACAGCCGGGTGCCCACACTAAAGATTTCGGCACCAGGGAGAGAAGATGGCCGGTGAAACCAGCCGTGGTCAGGACACCGCTGGACCGAGGGACAAGTAAGTGACTGTATTTTAAATGTCAGCTTTTCTGTTTTCATAGCTGCTGAATTTTTTTTTAATTTTTTTTTTTAGGTGGAACTCTGCTTTAAAGAGGAGTTCCAGTCTCCTCCCAGAAAATTAAAAATCAGCCGCTAAAAATACTGTAGGCTTACTTTTCACCACTTGCCCTTCAGAGAATTTACCCCCCTTCCTGACCAGATCATTTTTTGCATCACGGCACTATGTTACTTTAAATAGCAATTGCGCGGTCATGCAGTGCTGCACCCAAGGGAAATGTAAGTCCTTTTTTCCCCACAAATAGAGTTTTCTTTTGGTGGTATTTGATCACCTCTGTGGTTTTTATTTTTTGTGCTATAGACAAAAAAAGACCAACAATTTTGAGAAAAAAAAAACATATTTTTGACTTTTTGCTATTAAACATGTCCAGTAAAAAAAACCTAATCACATTTCATCATAAAAAAAAAAAAATCCCAATATGTGTAAATTATTTGGTTTATGTGAAAGTTATAGTATCTACAAATGGCGGTACATATACTGGAATTTTTGTAAAATGAATACTAGTAATGGCGGCGATCAGCGACTTATAGCGGGTCTGCAGTGGGCATTCTGACACTGGGGTGGGGGGGGGGGGGGGGGGGGGGGACGATGACTGACTAACTGTCACTGACATCCCCAGTGACACTAATATAGTGATCTGTGCTAATAAAAAGCACTGACACTGCACTAATGGGGCTGGGCAGGAAGGGGTTAACATTGGGGCAATCACAGGGTTAACTGTGGCCTGTGTGTGTTTTTACTGTGTAAGCATGCTGCTTTGTATTGCTCTGCTATACACAGCAATACAAAGCAGCGTGCTGGAGCTGACAGGGGAGAGATCTGTACTGAATACATACAGACCTCTCCCCCGTCAGTGTTCCTTGGCGATCGCCGGGTGCTGGCGGGGAATCTCCAGCCAGGACTCGGTGATTGACAGCTGTATCCGCCAATGGCAGCATGGGTAGGGCACTACTCGGAATTACAAAATCAGGTATATATATGTGATTTTTGTGCAGCCCTGCTGCCCTGTAGCAGTAGGTCTGCTATAGGGCGGTCGGGAAGCGGTTAAAGAGGAACTCCAGTCTCTCCCCCAAAAAATTAAAAAGCTGCTACAAATACTGTAACAGCTGACTTTTAATTTAAGAACAATTACCTGTCCAGGGATCCAGCACCATCCTCACCCAAGCTGATTCTTCAATCTGCCTCGGGTGCAGGTGCTGGCATCTTAAATAAAGGAAACTGCCAGTGAAGCCTTTGGGCTTCACAGTTGGTTTTCTACTGCACATGCGTGAGCCAGGCTGCACTTTGTGAAGGGTCCTGCAGTCTTCTGAGACCTGTGATGTGTCCCAGAAGGCTGTGGGGGCCCGAACAATCTGACCGGAAGTTGAAGCAGGTACCTGGTTTTGACGGGTACCCGCTTCAACATTGGAGGAGAGGAGGATGCAAACAAGTGGAACTTTCCCCTTTCTTTGGGGGGGGGGGGGTACCCACATCCACTCCATCCGCCTAGGCGATCGGAACGGAAGTTCTCCCTCCCTGCAGTTTTCTGTGACAAGTGACAGGTCCCAGAAGACTGTGGGACTATTCATGAGCAGTGGGCACCTGGCTGTGAAGCCAAAAGCTGTCACAGCTGGATGCCTACAATTAAGATGCTGGAGATGGGTGGAGAATACGCCTCTGGGGAGCACAGCGCTAGATCATGGGACAAGTGAGTGTGTGTTTATTAAAAGTCAGAAGCTTGAGTTTTTGTAGGTGCTGATTTTAATTTTTACATTTATTACTGGAGCTCCCCTTTAACACATATCAAAGCGCCTACCGCTTCAATGTGCGTTTATGATGCTTCGGTGATGCTTTTCTGAAACTTTAATGAAGCTTGGCAAATACCCTGTGTGTGCTGAGTTTGTATTTGTTTTAAAGAGTCCCAGTGGAACCTGTAGTTCCCCTGCTCAGCAGATCCCCAGCTCATCGGTACCCTTGTTCAGCAGATCCCCTGTTCAGTAGTAACCCCCAGCTCTGCTGATGGCCGTGCTCAGTAGTAACCCCCAGTTCTGCTGATGGCCGCGCTCAGTAGTAACCCCCAGTTCTGCTGATGGCCGCGCTCAGTAGTAACCCCCAGCTCTGCTGATGGCCGCGCTCAGTAGTAACCCCCAGTTCTGCTGATGGCCGCGCTCAGTAGTAACCCTCAGCTCTGCTGATGGCCGCGCTCAGTAGTAACCCTCAGCTCTGCTGATGGCCGCGCTCAGTAGTAACCCCCAGCTCTGCTGATGGCCGCGCTCAGTAGTAACCCTCAGCTCTGCTGATGGCCGCGCTCAGTAGTAACCCCCAGCTCTGCTGATGGCCGCGCTCAGTAGTAACCCCCAGCTCTGCTGATGGCCACGCTCAGTAGTAACCCTCAGCTCTGCTGATGGCCGCGCTCAGTAGTAACCCCCAGTTCTGCTGATGGCCACGCTCAGTAGTAACCCCCAGTTCTGCTGATGGCCGCGCTCCGTAGTAACCCCCAGCTCTGCTGATGGCCGCGCTCAGTAGTAATGCCCAGCTTTGCTGATGGCTGCGCTCAGTAGTAACCCCCAGTTCTGCTGATGGCCACGCTCAGTAGTAACCCCCAGCTCTGCTGCTGGCCGCGCTCAGTAGAACCCTCAGCTCTGCTGATCCCCTGCTCAGTAGTAACCCGAGCTCTGCTGATCCCCTGCTCAGTAGTAACCCCGAGCTCTGCTGATCCCCTGCTCAGTAGTAACCCCCAGCTATTCTAATCCTCTGGTTTTCTGCTCCTTCTCTCCCTCTGCTCCCTGCCCACCTCCCGTTCTATTTCTCCCACGCTATGCACCACGTGTGACATAGCTAGTTTCTCCTGCCCCAGACTCCCAGCTCTGCTGATCCTCTGCTGCTTAGTCCTTTCCGGTCTCCGCTCGCCTTCTGCTATAACGTTCCCATGCTGCTATAAATCTGCCCAGTGAGGAGGGAAAGAGCCTGAAGATCCGCTGCACTCATGTACAGTGCTGGATCGATATTGGGCTCTGATAAGTATAAGGGGGCTGGGGGGATCCTCTGCAACAGATTGTTGTTTACCTTAATGCATAGAATGCAATAAGAGTAAAAAATGTAAGGCTTTAGAACCAGTTAATAAGCATTTAACCCTCACATCCTGCCTGTATTACAGTAATAGGTGATTGAATAGAAGTGTTCAGTTGCTGCTTTCTGTGCAGTAGTACTCTAAGCCCAGGTCAGCATGATGCCGTACCTTTTGGGGTTGGCAGGTCCATGACACCCTGGGCTTATAGGAAGTCTGGTCGAATGACCCCAGCCATCATTCAACATTCATGAGGAGCTTCATCTGGTGGCCGAAAAGAATTACTGTGAGGGACAGTGCCATTGTGAAGATGAACATTGCAGCAAGAGCAGCTTTTTCATTTTCTCTTAATGGAGTGTTCATATACTATATTATTCTATTTGATCAGGAGCTCTGCTTTAAGGTAAAAAGAGAACCAGTAGTAACAGTAGTTTCAAATTTGTAGGGTTCACTGGGCAGAAGTTTTGCAAGATACAAATAAGTTTTATCTGATATTTTTAATGTCTCTGTTCTTTTGCTACTATACAGATGAGAGTGAAGATTTAAAGGCACTTGCAAACACAGAAATAGCATCTTGTGTAGAAGAGATAATGAATCTAAAATACCAGGTAATGTACTATTTCCATGCGTGTAAAAACAAAATTCATGTTTGAACCTTTCCTGATGACTGTATGCATATATTCAGCCTCATGGAAGTGGACCCCTTTTCCATGGGGCCTCATATATGCGTATTTCCCTTTGTGCTGGGAGTGCACCACACAGCATGCTCCCAGCACAGAGACTAGGATGTCACCAAGAGCCCTGGGTCCCGTACTAACTATTGGGACCTGGGACTCCCAGTTCTGGATCACCTGATCACTGTGATAGCCTCTGATTGACTATCACAGTGATCAATCACTGTGAGCCTGCCCGTGTTTTACTTCCTCTTCTGAATGGAGAGGAAGACACACTGTATTTTCCACTCCTTGTCAGAGCTGGAGTGTAAAGTTAAAAAAAAAAAATAGCAAGATCAAGGTTTGTCAGTAGGGGGCCAGGGTCAAAGGTCACGGTTAGCATATTTTGAATAGAATTTAAAAAAGTTTAAATTGTTATCAGCCTCAGTTAGTGTCAGTGTGTTTTAGACAGGAAAAAATATGCAAAATACTCACCATAGTTTCTGGGCCATAATACGGGTATAAACAAACACTAACATACACAGACAGTGGATATAAAAAGTCTACTCGCCCCTGTTAAAATGTCAGGTTTCTGTGATGTAAAAAAATAAGACAAAGATAAATCATTTCAGAACTTTTTCCACCTTTCATGTAACCTATAAACTGTACAACTCAGTTGAACAACAAACTGAAATCTTTTAGGTGGAGGGAAGTAAAAATAAAAAACTAAAATAATATGGTTGCATAAGTGTGCACACCCTTAAACCAAATCTTTGTTGAAGCACCTTTTGATTTTATTCCAGCACTCATTCTTTTTGGGTATGAGTCTTATCAGCATGGCACAACTTGACTTGGCAATATTTGCCCACTGTTTCCTGTGCACAGCCCTCTTCAGATCACCCCACAGATTTTTGACTGGATTCAGGTCTGGGCTCTGGCTGGGCCATTCTAAAACTTTAATCTTCTCCTGTTGAAGCCATTCCTTTGTTGATTTGGATGTATGCTTTGGGTCATTGTCATGCTGAAAGAGGAAGTTCCTCTTCATGTTCAGCTTTCCAGTAGAAACCTGAAGGTTTTGTGCCAATATTGGCTGGTATTTAGAACTGTGCATAATTCCCTCTACCTTGACTAAGCCCCAGTTCCAGCTGAAGAAAAACAGCCCCAAAGCATGATGCTGCTACCACCAGTCTTCACTGTGGGTATGGTGTTCTTTTGGTGATGTGCAGTGGTGTTTTTGCGCCAAACATATCTTATGGCCAAAACGTTCAACCTTGGTTTCATCAGACATAACACATTTTCCCACATGCTTTTGGGAGACTTCAGATGTGTTTTTGCAAAATTTAGCGGGCTTGGATGTTTTTCTTCGTAAGAAAAGGCTTCCGTCTTGCCACTCTACCCCATAGCCCAGACATATGAAGAATATGGGAGATTGTTGTCACGTGCCACACAGCCAGTACTTGCCAGATATTCCTGCAGCTCCTTTAATGTTGCTGTAGGCCTCTTGGCAGCCCCCCAGACCAGTTTTCTTTTTGTCTTTTCATCAATTTTGGAGGGACGCCCAGTTCTTGGTAATGTCACTGTTGTGTCATATTTTCTCCACTTGATGATGACTGTCTTCACTGTGTTCCATGGTATATCTGATGCCTTGGAAATTCTTTTGTACCTTCTCCTGACTGATACCTTTTAACAATGAGATCTCTCTGATGCTTTGGAATCTCTGCGGACCATGGCTTTTGCTGTAGGATGAAAATATCAAGAAAGACCTACTCAAACAGCTGAACTTTATTTGGGGTTAATCAGAGGCACTTTAAATGATGGCAGGTGTGTACTGACTCCTATTTAACATGATTTTGAATGTGATTGCTTAATTCTGAACACAGCTACATCCCCATTTATAAGAAAGTGTGCACACGTATTGCAAACACATTATTTTAGTATTTTATGTTTACTCCCCCTCCCCTAAAAGATTATTTTTTTTTTCAATTGAGTTGTACAGTTTATAGGTCACATTAAAGGTGGAAAAAGTTCTGAATTGAGTTCTTTGTCTCATTTTTTTACATCACAGAAACCTGACATTTTAACAGGGATGTATAGACTTTTTATATCCATTGTATGTGGTATTGCTGCGATCATCATGAGCAGGAGAATTTATTTTATGTTGCTCTTTGTTGAAAAATTATGGTAATAGCAAGAAATATACTGCTAATGTTAAAAAAAAGATTTTTTTTTCTACTATCTTAGGCCGGCATTACGTTTAATAATAGAAAAAAAAAAAAATCAAGAGATATCCATTACCATTTACCACCAAGAGAATGCCCAATTTGTCCTGAAAAAAGCAAGGTATAATCCACATGGATACACCAAGTAGTTGTGACGATATGTACAGTTTTACTAACACATGTCAGAGTTGCAAAATTGTGCTTGGGCATGAACATTTTTTTTACCCTTAGGCGGGAAGGGGTTAAACTGCTCAAGTACCAGTGCTTAGATTTTGGGTTTTTTTAAAGGAAACCTTCACAGGAATATGTAGTTTGCGTGTGTGTGTGTGTCTGTTTTTTTTGTTCTCTTCTGTCACTTTAAAATAGTTTGTTTGGACCAAACAAGCTGTTACCTTCACTGATAGATGTGCCTGATGTGAGCATTGTATAAACTGTGTGTAGCTTCAGCTACATAGAGTATACGGCGTTGTGTTCTAGCAGTTGGATGGGGACTTTTTGCCCCGTTCACTGAACAATATTGAGTTGGCCTCAGTGCAGCTCAGTCATTCAGAGGAAGCTTTATATCTTCTGAATGAGTGCAAGGCTTCCCCTGGTTGTCTGAGGTGGAGATCACATTGTCATCAACCCAGCTCTGCACCTTAGCCAATCAGAGGATGCCTTGTACTCCTTCAGACAATCCAAAGATTCCTGTGAATGGCTGAGCAGAGTTTACCCCATATGTGTTTACCCCAGGGTGGATAAAAATCAATGATTTTTTAAAAAAAATAAAAAAAATCAGATTTTTTTAATTTAAATTGGATTTTTTTTTTTTTAAATCGGATTTTTTTAAATAAAATGCTTTTTGAGGAAAATATATTATCATCCAAAGGTTATGCCATCATGAAATACAGAATCGTTTTTTAATTATGTAGAATAAGGCTGTATATGTTTAATTTTTTTGGTAAATAAATTCCATTAATCCATTCACAATGTCATGCTCTTCCAGAGGTTTTTCTAAGATTATTGGGCAGTTTCTCTGCCTACAAGATATTATCACAGATGCTTGGTTTACTTTTGCAGTTCTCAAAACTGAATTTGACTCAACGGAGATCACATGCCTCTTCTTCACAGCAAAAATGTTATAACATGAACAGAGTTAAGAAAAAGACCTTAATCCTAACTTCTACAAACCTATGAATACAGAATCAACCCCTTCAGTGCTAAGTTTCAAGAAGTTCAGTGCATAGAATAGAAACAATATTTTTCTGATTGTTTGGAGTGGAATAGATCTGCACAAGAAGAAAGTGAAACTAAGTGGGAGGAGGAAGGGGCTGACAGTCTAAGTTTCTTAAAATATACAGTATATATTTTGTTTAGCCAAATTAGTTAACAAACATGGATGTTTGTTTAAGCAAATAACATATGCTGGAATGTTATTGTTTCAGTTGAATAAATCTATTTAAATTGTTAATATTAAGCGAATGATTTTTCTCCTTCCTAAGTACAGCAGAAAAAAGTTGTCCAAATATGAATGATTAACCTATTAAACTGGGGATAAAAAAACTAATGAAAAGTTGTTATTCTAAAAATCTTCATCTACTTGCATATTAAAGTTATACCAGCAAGAATTAGTCTTTATGTAGAAAACTAGGATTTAAATCAAGCCTTACTGACTAGTGATTTAAATCAGTTTGATTTAAATCAAATCCACCCTGGTTTACCCCAACTCATATTTGTTCTGGGAATGGCACAGAAGTTCCCATCCTGCTGCAAAAACACAGAGCTGTATACTGTATGTAGCTAATGCTACTTACAATTTATGCAGCGCTCACAATGGGCACATCTGTTAGTGAAGTTCCAAATTAACTATTTTAAAGTGACAGAAAGATGGAGTTATAAACATTCTGAATTATTAACCTGGAAACTGTATGCAACAAGTGCAGCCAGAAAACTTTGTGTTTTTGTGTACAAGTTGATGCTTCTACAGTTGGATGTTGGGCTACCTCCACCTGTATGAGCTCCACCCCACTAGGGTCAGAGCCCACTCTTGTGCTAATCATACAAGCAATACAATCTCACAATTCAGATGAATATTAAATGTATTTACAACTTTGCATTACAAATGGTGTAAATCACATTGAAGATGTTATTGATTAATATTCCAATGAAATAAAATGTTATTGACAAATATATTGAAATTTATTGAGAATGTGCCAGTGTCCAGACTTGATGAACACCCTGTAGTTTGAACTTGGTGATCATAGATTTTGAGACTGTCCTATCTTGTTCCAGTCTCCTTTTTTAAAATTTTCTATGTAAAAATAATTTGTATTTAAAATGGTATTCTTCCTCAATATTTTAAAATTTATCTGTATATATCTGTAAACAAAAATTTAAGTAAATAAACTTTTTTCTTACCTCATTCCTCTGTGGTCTGGGTCCTGTTAACATCTTGCTAGAAACTTTCCTGTTAGCGCCTTCAGTTTTTTAAGCTTACTATTTACCCTCCCATTTGGTGAATGGTGCATGTTTCCAATTTCCAATAATGCAGCAGCTGAGAAAGTATTTGTATGAATCCCTTACCAGCCTCCTATATAGAAATGTGCCATTGTGTGTACAGGGTACCTCACTATTGAAATTCTCCCTGAAAATCCTGCAGCTGTGAAGATAAAACTGCTGATACCTCTCTGAACTTTTTCCAAACTTCAGCGTGAGATACAGTAGATTTGGTGCAATTTAATGGTAAAAACCTACACTAATTGTATGTAGAAGGTCGGTTTAATTCTTTCCAGGCATTAGAAAATTAACATTCCTCTAGTCTTCCAGATTTAAGCAGCTTCTGCTTGATTCTCATCATTCTAAAACAGTGCCACATTACTACGTCTTTCTACTCCAGTCTGTGACTACTATGTTGTAGAATGTTAAAATAAATGGATACATAACCTCCCTAATATTGTTGTAACAGAATAGGAAACCATTCACAACCCATATATTTAAGGGGTTTTCTCCCCTAAAGATTAGGCAATCCAACTTAAAGCAGAGCTCCACCCTAAAGGAAAAGTATCACTGGTCCCCCACTCCCCATGAGGAATCAAGCGAGGCGACCGGCAGTGAAACTGGCTGCAGTGAGTATACTGCTGGGTCGTGAGTTTGTTTTTTTAAAAGTCAGCAGCTACAGTTTTTGTAGCTGCTGACTTTTTTTTTTGAGGTTTGACTAGAGCTCCGCTTTAAAGTTTAGGTGCAAAAAAAAACCACAATCACCACAAGGGATGGTAGTTTTATTCTGAAGCTTCCCTTGTGCTTATTCTGGTCACAGGGCGTGCCAGTGTGCATGTGCACCATGATGTACAGGTACGTCGTGGTGCCTGGAGATACCACCCACCAACAGTAAATGCCTTTACAAATGGTTAATAAAGGCAGAAGGCAAGCAGCATTTAAAGTTTTTCTCTTTTTAAGCTTTGTGTTACCTTTCTATGTACTCATTTTCTACATACTGTGCTAGAAGCTGAATAAAAAAAACTTGTGTGTTTTGTTTTTTTTTTTTTTTTTTTCAGATAGCTTGTCTTTTAATTCCAAGAGATGAAGAGGATGACTGCAATCTTATTCTAGAGCTTACAGCTGGTGTTGGAGGACAGGAGGCAATGCTTTTTACTGCTGAGATGTTTGACATGTATCAGCGTTATGCTGCTCATAAAAAAATTGGATTTTTGACATACTGGAATACTCCCACAGTGATCTGGGTAAATCTTGCATATATATACTGAAATTATTTTTTTCCTACGCAGTGGATAATGAAATCTGAATATACTTCTCAGTCAAATAGAGAAAATCATACTGATTTTCTTATGTTTTTATACAGGTGTCTTTGTAGATACATCATTTTTTCCTAAAGAGCCAGCAATAAGAAGGGCTGTAGCATCAGGTCATCTTAGCAATGCAGCCTATCTTTTAATGTAATGTGAACATTTTGTTAAAGAATAATTCCAGGCATGGCCATAATATACATTGGTCCAGCCTGGACAAATGTAACTAGGTAAACTATACCTGTCCAATGTCCCTGGAAGCTGGAAATTACTGAAGTAGACATTGCTACTTCAATGATCTCCAGATACTGAACACAGGAGGTTAGGCACTCAGCACAGGCGCCATTCAGACAATGCTGTGCATATTCTGAATGAATGCAAAGCTTTCTCTAAATAGACAAGGCGTAGAGCCGGGAGTGATGTTTGGCTGATTTCCCTGGAAGCTGGAAATTACTGAAGTACACATTGGAGATCCAGTGATCTCCACTTGTTTCTGGCTCCCTTGCTGAGCAGCCGACCTCCTGTAGCCACAGTGCCTCAGGTGCTGAGCACGGGACCCAGAAACAAGTGGATCTATGCTGTGTGCTCTATGCTCCAAGCATCTCCTTTTGATGCTTGTATGGATGAATGGTGGCAAGACCATATATAATACTATATTTATTCTTCTGTTTTTGTAAAGGAAAAATATTTTGAAAGAATTATAATTTGAGCAAATTTATATAATTTGACTTTATACCACAAAACCCAAACTACAGTTTGCATTTAAAGTTATCGGATGAGTTTAGTTCTGTCAGTTGGACACTCTGGGGGGGGGGGGGGACATACACTTGGATCAGAGGCTACTCCCAGCTTTACTTGTAATCCTAAAATCAGTGTTGGGTGATACACTACAACTTTGACCATAGGCTCAGCTTTGGTGACCTTAATAGACACTATAAGGTAAAGCCAGCCATACATGGACCGAAGTTCGGCTAGTTCAGCAGGGATCGGCCAGTTTTCGTTCCATGTTTGGGGAAGGATGTTGCACAGAAGTCGACAGGCTGTTGCCTACATCGCTGACCAGTGTATTGTGATGCCGGGGGAGATTTCCTGCTATCAAAAAACAGTAGCTCACCGTGGAGGATTCTCCCATCCGCACAGAGTGTATGGATAGAGAAATTGAGTTAGTTTTTTTGCATTCAGTCTGCTAATTGAACAAAAAAATGGACCCTTCTTTGGGCAGCCTTACTGCTAATTATAAAGCTGGGCCTTGTATAAAGAGAAAAGTTGCTATTGAACCTGTTGACGTATATGAGTGTGGCTATTTTGTTTATGTTCTAGGGATCCTGAGGAAACCCACTACTACCTCTATTTTCCACTTGTTAGACAAAGAGGTTGTTTGAATCATTCAATGAAAACTAGCCCATCGTAGAGAGCAATGTCCCTGCTTCAAAGTGAAAACTATTAGCAAGCATTACTACAAAAGTTGAGTTTGACTGCTGTGATCCTTTTCCCAAGTTTGCATCCACTCCTAAAGGTGGCCATAGATGGATCAAAATTTGGACAATTCAGCAGGAAGCGGACAAATTCTGATCCATGTGTGACCACTGCCACTCAACAGAAGTTGATCTATTGATCAAATTCTGTTGATTGGACCTGTTGGGGAAAAAAGCTACTCATTCAGCAGTTGCAGTGCTGATCAGTGCAGCATAGATTCTCATTGAATGTGTGGAGGGGAAATCAGTTCAGTTTGAACAAAAGCCAGCTAAAGTAATAAATAAACAGGTTAGCGTTAAAGTGATTTTAAAGCTAAAAATGTTTTTTACCCTGATGCATTCCTTGCATTAAGGTAAAAAAATTTTTGTTTATTTTTCTGTACTCCCTGTGTGAAGGGGAAGAGGAGGGAGATCCAGCGCTGTGCACAGTTGCATCTCTTCTTCCCTCTCTTCCTCTTCACACAAGGACTCAAACAGCAGCAGGGGCCATTGGCTCCTGTTGCTGTCAATCAAATGCAGTGAGAAAGAAGTGGGGGGTGGGGCTAAGCCCTGCTGTGTGTATCTATTGAGCGTGGCTCCATAGACACAGCTCGGGAGCGAACATGCACTGTGTGCTCCCATAGGCTTGCTATGGAGACACCTGAAGAAGAGGAGGAGCTAAGATTGCCGGCAGGGGTCCTGAGAAGAGGAGGATCAGGGCTGCTCTGTGCAATACTATCGTACAGAGCAGGTGAGTATAACATGTTTTGTTATTTTAATTTTTTTTTAAATTGCCTTTAGTAACACTCTAGCAAGATAAGAGCTCAAATAGATAAATGGAGTATACCAGATTCAGTATTGCATAGTGTTTTTATTCAGATAGATCCATACTCATTCTCTCCTAATTTCTTTGGTGCTGACTTGTTTCATCCATGTTAAAGTCACCATCAGGAATAAAAAAAAAATATATAAACCTTTTTGGGTAATTGATACTGTACTTGACTTCCTCATTGGAACGTGTGCTCTGAGCATAGTTGCAGGAATGTGAAGAGGCACAAGGGGGACAGGGCGTAGATATCAAGAATTGAAAAAGCAATTTCTTGTTAACTGAATTTGCTTTATTTTGATCATGATTTTGGGGGTAATTTATCAAACAATGAAGTTTAGGCTATTTCAGTGCACTTAGGCTTGACATAAAAATAAAGAATTTTGAAGGCTATGTGATGGTGTTTGAGGCATTCACATGCTTCCTTTTATGGAAGCACTGTGTATTTTGCGAGGATTGTGATGTAAAAATATCTAAAATGACTTTTTATTATGTTTTAGGTGGAGTGCGACATGCATCAGCAAGTATAGGAGGTTTGGATGCCTATAAATGTTTAAAATATGAAGGTGGAGTGCATAGAGTTCAGCGAGTGCCAAAGACTGAGAGACAAGGAAGAATTCACACAAGTACTACAACTGTAGCAGTATTGCCTCAACCAAGTGAGGTAAAGTAAACATTGAAATAAGTTAAAGAAGCTGTAAATGTTATATTGAAATGTGGCAAAATGTTGGGATGTTTTAGCTGTTCACTGGCAAAAAAACAGTTTGATCATCAAAAAACAATGGAAATAACAAATGCCTAAAATATTTAGAGCATATATGTCAAAGGCCAATGGGCTTTGGGGAAGAGGCTAGTCCCCGAAACGCGCGTCAACCTTTTGGACGTCCAGAGTTCTCATTACAGACAGACACATAGTGTGAATTGGACAGAACTGTTCCTTCACGATGTGCCTTTGATTTTGACAATTTGTGAGCACGATACCTACCTTTAACATTTAATAAACATATTTTTAAAGTAGTGCACTAGGCCGGTGCGCCCTCTGTTTATATTTGGACTCCCTGTCTTTTGAGGGCAGCAGGGCGTGCATATCCCAAGAATTTCGTTATGTGGTCCATATGGTATTCCCATCCCTAATGCAGGCCATAGACGGGACGAAATTCGGCCGATTTTTCACCTGGAAAAACGGCCGATTTTCGCACTGTTAGTGAGTTAATTGGTCGGTTGTTTTTTTCGGGTTTTGGCACATTTTATTTATCGATAAAGTTGGAAAAAAATCGCCCGATGTTCCCGGCAATGATGGGCAAATCGGCCGATCGTTTTACCGATAAAAAATCTGCTCATGAGCTGTGACCTGCAAGAAGAAGAAGAATTCCAGTCCGCTATTATATTTTATATGAAATGTCGTGTGGTTGCAACAATGTTTCTATTTGTATCCAAATAAAACCATCTGTATCTGAAATGGATACATTGTTGCAACCGCAATACTTTTTCATGTCAAATATAATAGCGGAGCTCTCTGCAAGGGACAGAAGTAATTAAATGCCCTATAACTTTATAGGCCCATTCGAACCTATGCTAATAGGTGTGAATCATTGGGGTCAAATGGACATTCATTTTTAGCTGCAGTGATGAGAACATTTGGATGAAAAGGATAGAACAGTATATGTGGTTTCCCTCTTATTAAATCTACTTGTTCCAGAACTGAATGTTAACAGCAAATGAAAGTTTTAAAGTACTTTCGAACAACATTCGCCAAGCTTGTTGATTGTTCTGAGAATCTACTAGTGCAGTGTTTCTCAACTCCAGTCCTCATGGACCCCCAACAGGTCATGTTTTCAGGATTTCCCTCAGATGAAACAGCTGTGGTAATTACTAAGGCAGTGAAACTGATCAAATCACCTGTGCAAAATAATGGAAATCCTGAAAACATGACCTGTTGGGGGTCCATGAGGACTGGAGTTGAGAAACACTGTACTAGTTAGTTTTACTTTTGTTTATTCTTCCCAGCTGTTGTATTTAGCATTTACCAGCTTTTTAGGAGGTCATCTACTTAGGCAAGCCATAGAGTACTCGATTTTCTTTCCTTCCACTATGAAAATTAAAGACTAAACTACCTAACTAAAGAAAATTGCTCGATTTCCCCATCAACACAGTCAATGTTGATGGGGGAAGCCTCCCGCAGCACTATGGAAGACTTCCTGCTGACAGAGCCCAATAGTGCTCCACTTTATTGATGAGATTGATTCACACGATTTGTGTCTCTATCCATCGGGTAGTTGCCTGACGCTGGAAAACGTCCTCAGTTCCCCTTCTCCCAGGTTAAACTGAGAGTGGATTCTATCAGTAAAGTTGAGAAAATATTTTGCGCTCTGTACAATACTATGCTTTTATTATGAAAAAAATGGAAAGCTTGGTTTCATAAATGTAACATTTTTGACTAATTCACCCTTGACACTTGGCATAAACTATTTGTCAATTTACTGTTTATTGATCTCTTACATTTTGCTCTAATTGAAATGTATTGTTTTATTGGCTGCTCTCCAGAAAAGTTTTTACTTTCCTTTCATGTCACAGTCATCTGTGAATTTCACTATTGTAAAATGCATGTTTTACTTTGTACTCTTGCTCAGGTGATGTCTATATCTACCACTAGATGGTTTTCCTTTTTTTTATATGTACCACATGTGGTTATTCCCTAATAAAACAAAAAAGAACACAATAGCACTGCTGAAGAGATTCCCCCTTCACCTCTGACTCTGTTGATAGGGGAATCAAGCAGTTTTCTTTAGAAGATTGCCTAATCTATGGGCTGCGCAAGTCTGGTTCCCTTACTATCACATTTAACACAGTGCGGATGGGAGCTGCTTACGTTGTTGCACAAACCTCTCACTTCCCCAGTACTTCTTTGTCATGGAGTACACAATAATGTGGTGGCTTACAGGATGCAGTTGTAAGGGACAGGAGGAGACTAGAGTTGGTGCAAGGGGTGAAGAATCTTCTTGTGCCTGAACTATCAGTTTGCCAGCTAACAATGTGGGACAGCTTAAAGGCACATACAGAAGCCATAGCATCTACTTAAAAAAGGATCAGAGCTGATTCACACCTGTGCAGTGCAGATTGAAGCTCAGGTTTCACAGCTAACTGATACAGTAGTTGTTCACAGATTCACATCAGGTTCAGGACAGGATTAGCTAAGGATCTTATCTTGTTCTCACATATGCGGTTTACAGAAACGGTTCCCATAAAAGTCAATAGCCTGTAATCCGTAGCTGAACCTGAAGGCACTGCTCAAAAATCGGACAAGACTCTTTTTAAAACCGCACTGAATCCGCACCGCCATTGCACCAGACATATATGAACAGGCACCATAAGAAGCAATGTTTTTTCACACCAAATCCACATCCAATCTGCATATATGTGAATGGACACTCAGGGCATCTATAGTAAGTTGGAGTCCTTTTATTGTTTCTGCTCCTTCCTCTCTTAAATATGTTGTAGTCATCTGTTACTTTTGTCTTCTTTATGTCTGCAGATAAATTTAATAATTAATCCCAAAGACTTGCGTATAGAAACTAAAAGGGCCAGTGGTGCTGGGGGACAACATGTCAATACCACAGACAGCGCAGTACGAATTGTTCATATTCCAACAGGTAGGTAAGAAACTGTTAAAGGAAAATCTTTTTCTCTTGTCAATTAATATACAGCTGACTGACAGAAAAAAAGTTTTGTCTTCTTAAAACTTGTTCATATTATGCCTGATGTTTAACCATCTCCCACCTGACCACTGTAGGAGGATGTACCCATGACTTTTGTGATCCCCCTGGGCATGCAACAGTCTGCCCTGTGAAAGACACAGTGGATCACAGATTGGGCACAGGACCAATGAAATTGACCCTGTACCATATGATCGCTGTAACCAAGCATGCTGCAGCCTTTGAACCATTTCTTCTCGCAGCAATCCTCTGTGAGAGGAACGGAGTGTTCATTTTAGTGATTGTCTGGTGATCAAAGACACTGACTGGTGCACTAATGACACTGTATGCCAATGCTGCAGCCACTCCCTGTTCAATAGCCACAGCAGTACAATGTCACCATAGTGACACTGCACTGCTCTGGTGACAGTATTTAAAAAATATATATATACTGTCACCAAAGCAAGTGCAGTGTCAATATGTCATGACATTGTACTGCTGTCGTCACAATTATGTGCAGTGGCTGGCTGCTCTAAATCACTGTATGTCAGTGCAGCTAAGCATTGTCTCTAACCACCATCACAACAGTACAATGTCATCAGACCACAGCAGTCAGTGTCACCATAAGGCCTTGTTCACATGTGTGGTGCTCTCTGAAAAGCAATCCATGTTAGGATCTAGTCACATCAGTGTCAGTGTCACCAGCGCCAGTGCAACCCTCAATAGTGTCCCTTATCACACCAGTGCATTGTTGTCTCTGCCTACTGCCTGTACTGACCCTGGTCTGTTTATTGACCATGTTTCTGCCTGTTGTCTGGACCAATCCTTTACCTGTCTGTTGACCATGTCTCTGCATGCTGTCTGCACTGACCCTTCTGCACATCCCTCTGACTACGTTCCTGTGAGACACCAGTCCCAATGATTCCCAGCAGACAACTCCTGGAACTGCAGGAAATCTTTTGTTCTTCCTCCTGTACTTTCTGGCCAGTGTACATGGCATTTCTGGGGGCAGCCACATACCAGTAGACTAGGTTTGCTTGGCTTATAGAAAAACGGACTGCTACAGGTGAGTGATAAATATTAATTATATCAAATTCATAATTCGGCACTTATATTATATTGATGGCAAGCTTGCAAAATATTTGGTTTTTTGTGATTAATCATAATTCATATTAAAATGTGTGAATGTGTGAGTTATAAAGCTGAGCTAGCTAACCAGCTGAGAGCTGAGTATTCTATAATAGGGCATAGCTGGTTAGAAGACTCTGATATAGAATGTCAAAGGTGTTTGAAGTGAATCAAAATAGAATAAGTATTACATAATGTATACTAATAGTATCTGTGTGTATTTAGCTTATGTTTTATATGTTGGTAATGTAACATATGTAGATTTGTGGTTATACAACATTATTGAGATGTTGTAAAGATACATTCTTAATTTATATTATCTTTTAAAATATGAGCAAGCTGATCTAACATCACCAGATTATTATGGTCACTACATATGTGCCTAGCAATCAAAAGATCATATATGTCCCCTCCCTTCAATGAAATTGCTCTGCTAAGCAGTATTTGCCATACAAGGTCCTAAGATCACAAATTTTTTTTTGTTTACAAACGATTTTATTGTACATAAGTAGACAGTAAAACAACAGCACAGTATGAAAGTGATATTGTCAACAAAAATATGGCACATTTGAAATGTACAATACATAAAAGTATATTAACATAAAAAAGAAGATAGAGGAAGAGAGAAAGTTATAAGTGCATGAGATACATAAATGATAAAATAGATTGAGTGATACATCTATCAACAATATATGTCAGCCATTCCTTACCGAGGATGTTGTCAATCATGCAATAAATGTCTACAATCCTTCCATGACTCCCATTTTTTATCGTATAAGTGCATCTTATCCAGTAGTGTATAATGAATATACGTCGTCAATTCTGTGTAAAACAGTCCATACAACATTAGACCGCCAATGCAGGGCAATGGAAACCATAAGTGGCAATACTAATGTGTGTAGCAATCTCAGAGTGGCATCAGGGACCCCTTATGAACCCCCAAATGAACAGGTGTATGGACAACTGTCGGGTTGCCCGATCAGTGAGGTAGCCACCTCGGATGCCAGATCAAAATAGTGTGTCGGGCAACCCAAAACATATGCAAAGTGCTGTGCGGCAACCCTTTTGTGGAAACATTGTAGTAGTCCGGAGTATCTGACTACCGTTCACGAACCGAAAGAGAACTCTAGAGCTCTGCATAGGAGTCCCAATCCTCATCCGAAAAAGTGATACCACATCCTCCTCCCACCTGTGACCCTGTACATAGGGGAGCATGGAAAAGACAGATCAAAAATTGGGTGACTGAAATATGGACCCCTTACCTTAGGGAGAGTCACGGCATGTACGTTCAAAAAAAAGGACATGCGGACAAAGTGCCAAATCTGTCTATAACGAAGTACTCACGAAGAGGAACATCAAATGAGCAAATCATGTATGCTCTTTGGTAAGAATCTGACCAAAGGATGCGATCATACACCAACAAAACATGTGATGGGAAGAAATAGGCTACAATCTCACCAAAAAATGAAACACCTGGTGGAGACTAAACTCAGGCGTTAGCCTTGTATTGGACCAAAGCGTCAGTGTTTAGTAAGCGAATCAGGGGGAGATTTTAGACCTGCATTTGAGTGTTAATACACCATGAATTGCGCAAAACGGAGGTAATATAGCCAAAAAGGAAGACCAAGACCTCCCGTTCGTTGTGAACACTGGATGAGGCAAACGTGGGATGCTTATTTCCCATAAATTGTTAATTCCCAGCTGAACATCAAAAACGTTTTTTTGAAACCGGAATGGAAGTCAACTGCATAAAGCAGGAAAATCTCTTACCCAGAAAGGAGATATGATAACCGTGCCAAATCTCGTGATTTAGCCGCAAACATATCCGAGTAATCTGGGAGACAGAAAAAACATGAAACTACAGAGAGATGCACTTAGAGTCTGATAATTACCGATTTGGTAAAATTTATAACAGTGCCTGAACCATAACATCATCAGCATACATGCTCAACTTAAAAATGTGAAAGAATAGCCAGTGATTTGATCGGCCAATGCCAAAGGTTCCAACACCAGCGCAAACAAGGGCAGTGAAAGAGGACAACCTTGACGGGTACCTCTACCCAATGTAAAAAAGTCAGAGTTTAACAGGTTTTAGGAGAGCAATGCCTGCCATACATCATACCACTAGGGCCAAAGAACACTGTCAAATTCATATGCATTCAGAAGAAATGTAAATGCATCTTGAATAACGTTTAGAGTGAGACGAATGTTATCAGTAATATAATCTGTCGGGAATAAAACCCGACTGGTCTGGAGATATATCAAAGAGGAGATAATAGGAGCCAACCTGTTCGCTAAAATGCGGCTAAATATCTTCAGATTTATTCATTACTGAGATTGGTCATAGTTTTTGTGGCAGACTGTGGTCTTTCTGTGGCTTGGGTATTAAAGACATGTTAGCTAACAACATCTCCTCGGGGAACTTACCCCCCTGTAAAACATCATTAAATAGTGTTTATCAAGTATGGAGCCAATATAGAGGTAAAATGTTTATAATAGCCAGCAGTAAATCCATCAGGACCCGGCGCAGTAGAGCGTTTCAGCGTTCCCATTGCACATGTTATTTCCTCTAAGGTACATGGGGCATGAAGAGAGGCAATCTGAGAAGGTGTGAGAGCAGGAAGGGGTATAGTAGTCAGAAACAGAATCCGACTGTGGAGAAGCCAGTAGTTTAGAATAAAAAATTTTCAAAAATACCCAAAACAGGTAAAGATGAGATAGCACCTGAATTAGTACGCAATTTATACTGTGGGGGGGGGGCGCAAAGAATGGTTCAATTTCCTTGCAAAACATGGTAGATGCTGAGTTGCTATGGGAACGAGGCCCTGTTCAGTTTTTTGGGAAAGTAGGGCATTCAGTTCCAAGCGCTTTTGGGACAATAGCTGTTTATTGAGTAAAGATGGATCAGCTACATGGCTTCTATAGTGTGCTTCTAATTCTCGGGTTAAAAGTAGTATCTGCTGCCAACGTTTTTTTATTTCTGGCCGAAGCCATAGAGATAAGTCGGCCCCGTAGGACCGCCTTTGTGGGCTACCAGAGTGTGGCTGGGGAAATATCAGGGGGTTGAATTAGATTGAAAGTATTTAAGAGATGTAATCACCTCCTGCGAGAGTCAGTATCAGTTAGCATAGAATCATTAGTCTCCATGAAAAGGGAGTAGGTGCCAATCCCACAAACGTGATAGATAAGGCCATAATACTGTGATCCGACCAGGGGCTCAAATGAATACTAGCTATCCTAGAATTAGATAGGGGTACAAAAGATATAGTCTAGTCTAGCATAAGAGTCATGTGGGTGGGAATAAAATGTGTAATCCCTGGCTCCCGTGTTGTGCGCTCTCCAAGCATCCACCAACTGGAGGGCATCTAGTTTCTTAGTAAGGGATTTTGGAAAGCTTGGGAAGTGTGCGAGGTGGAACTACGGTCCAGAAGAGGATTTGCCACCAGATTAAAATCCCCACCCACCAATAGATGGGGGGACAAAAAATTTATCCAGTGCACCAAAAAATTAAAAAAAAAAAGTAGCCTGTGCCGAATTTGATAGACATTAGCAATTGTAAGTTCTCGACCTGAAAGGGTGCCCTTAAGAATAATAAACCTACTGTCTGGATCACGATACACATGTTGAACCTCAAAGGGAAATGAGTTATGTAGAAAAAATGGCCAATCCCCTACTCTTGGAGGAATGTAGGGTATAATACCCCTGCCTATAGGATCTATGAAAAAAGGTCGGGTGTTTTGCGGCTGCAAAATGCGTTTCCTGTAATAAGATGATTTTTGCTCCTAATCTTTTATATTGAAGAAAGGCTGTTTTGCGCTTATTTGGCAATTGAAACCCTGGACATTATGCGAAATACATTGAATTGCCATAATAAACAGAGCTTGCCACTATCATCATAAAAGTACACATTACAAAGATTTCCCCTAAAGTTATTTGATTAGACATAGAAACCCGCAGGTCTGCATCAGACAGACATACAGGTGGCTAAGATCACAAATTTTGACGCTTACTTGCTTCATAAAATGGCTCTAAGGCAGTCTCACGGAATCACACACGTCTGTCCAAACAGACACACACAAGCACATTCTGAGAAGCTAGAACAGGTGCATGCTGTAAGAAGTAGTCAAAAATGAAAACAAAATCCATCAAAGAGATAGCAGCAACATTAGGAGTGGCCAAATCAGCAGTTTGGTACATTCTGAGGAAAGAAGAATGCACTGGTGAGCTCAGCAACATAAAAAGGCATGGACGTCCACGGAAGACAACAGTGGTGGATGATCGCAGGATCCTCTCTGTGGTAAAGAAAAACCCATTCACAACATCCAGATGAGCGAAGGACACTCTTGTCAGTCAAGAGAAGCGTTCATGAGAGCAAATACAGAGGGTTCACCACATGGTGCAAACCATTCATAAGCATGAAGAATAGAAATGCCAGATTAGACTTTACCAAAAAACATCTAAAAAAAGCCAGACCAGTTCTGGAAAAGCATTCTTTAGACAGATTAAACTAAGATTAATTTGTACCAGAATGACTGGAAGGAAAAAGTGTGGAGAAAGCTTGGAACAGCTCATGATCCAAAGCATACAACGTCCTCTGTAAAACATGGTGGAGGCAGTGTGATGGCATGGGCAGGCACGGCTTCCAGTGGCACTGGGTCATTGGTGTTTATTGATGATGTGACAGAAGCAGCCGGATGAATTCTGCAGTGTTTAGAGAGATACTGTCAGCCCAGATTCAGCCAAATGTAGCAAAGTTGATTGGATGGCGCTTCACAGTACAGATGCACAGTGATCCAAAACATACTGCAAAAGCATCCTAGGAGCTTTTGAAGGAAAAGAACTGGCCTATTCTACAATGGCCAAGTCAAGCACCTGATCTCAACCCAACTGAGCATGCATTTCACTTGCTGAAGGCAAAACTAAAGGCAGAAAGACCCACAAAGTTAAAGCCTGGCAAAGCATCAGAAAGGAGGAAACCTAGTCTATGGTAATGTCAATGGGTTCCAGACTTCAGGCAGTCATTGCCAGTAAAGGATTCTCAACAAAATATTAAAAATGAACATGTTATTTATGATTATATTCATTTGTCCAATTACATTTGAGCCCCTGAAAATGGAGGGACTGTGTATAAAAATGGTTGCAGTTCCAAAAATTTGTATTTGATATGTATGATCAACCCCTTGAATGAAAGCTGAAAGTCTACATTTCAAATTCATTTGGATTGTTTCGTTTTAATTTATTATGGTGGCATACAGAGCCAAAAGTATGAAAATTGTGCCTGTGTCCAAATATATATGGACCTAACTGTATGTGCCACCCTTAAATGATAAGTTCACCTTTGGGAACATGTTGCATGTTCCATCTGTTTTTAGGGTGGAACATGTAACATATTCACGCTCCTGCAGCTGCTCTCTGATCCTACCCTGATCCTACCCTCCCTGTGACAGCAGGCCAGGGATCTTCTCCCCGCTGTCACAATTCAAAAAGAGCACAACTGTGTTGGGCTCCGCCCACACAGCCATGTCATTCATTTACAGAGTTCTGTGCATGAATGAACTTCAAGTACCTACAGCCTTGCGACTGACGGCTTCTAGTTCTCAGTGAACTGCCAGGGTGCTCTAGGTAGTTCATTGATTCTTCCTGTATGTGTAAATGCCTGCCTGTATGAGGTTTGAGCAGCGAGCTTTCACTGAGTCTGCAGGAGCCCTGCATTGAACCTGCGCTCTGCTGATTGTGATGCTTTCCAGGCTCCTACAGAGAAAAAAAAAAAAAGTAAATGCACTTTTTTTTTTACCTGCAAAAAAAAGTGCATTTTTTTTTTTTTTTTAGTTGAACTTATCCTTTAATTCTCTTACAGTTTATTAGCAAGGGTACTTTGTACCTTTTAAAAAGAAACTATAGTGGTTGACTTTTTTTTATTTATGGAGGTTTAAACTATTATATCACTATTGGTTAGCTAAAGAAACAGTACATAAGACCCTATTTGATGATCTGGTTGTTTGATTCATTGAACCCTTAGGCAGGCCATAGACGGGCCATTTATCGGCCAAATTTTCGGCCGATAAAGAAAAATTGGTCGGGCCCGTTGCCGATGCTGCTACCTATGTCCGCAAAAATCGTCCGTTTTTCGCGGATTTTCCAGCATGACCGATAAAAATAAATGAGGAGATCTGCGAAAAAACGGCCAACTGGGCTGGCCCCACTAATGGGTTGATTATCAGCCTATTTTTCGTGCGGATGAAAATTCGGCCGATAAATGACCCGTCTATGGCCTGCATTAAACTGAGCTTTCTAAGAGACAAGTCGCTGCTCTGATTGAGGGCCAGTTTAAAAACAAAATGTGGTACCGGAAAAGTTCTGTGCACGTTTCCTGCACCATGTTCAAATCACACTGCCTTGTGATCTGCTGCAGGTTCCAGTACAATTATGGCAACTCAGATGCAAAATGGTGGTAGCGCAGTACAATGAGTTTTGTTGCACCATGTATTTCAATAATAGTCCATGCATTTGGTTTTTTTTTTTTTGCTTTCCAATGTGATTTACAGCCTACTCAAGTGAATGGGCTGCAAAACTGCACTGCAGGGGAATGCACAGGAATCACGCAGAAATGTGGACCTCATTCCTGTGCGATTCTGGCGTGAACTGGCCCTCATTGAGTTCTGTGAACAGAAAACCTGCTGGCTCCAAAATAGTTCCTATTTAAAGTGGTTCTAAAGGCTCAACATTTTTTACCTTAATGCATATTCTGCATTAAGGTAAAAAATATCCCAATAATTGTATCACCCCATCACCTCCCATATACTTACCTGAACCCAATCTTGATCGAGCACTGTACCCATCTGAAGTGGCTGTCTCCTCTCTCTCTGTTCACAGAGGCAGCAGCGGTGGCCAGTTCCTTCTCGCTGCTGTCAATCAAATCCTGTGAGCAGAGAGCAGGAGGCATGGCTGCGTGTCTCTGCAGATGCACACAGCCTGGCTCAAGATTGAGCCTACAGGTGCACCCCCATAGCAAGCGGCTTTCCATGGTAGTGCACCGAGAAGAGGGGGACCCCAGAAGATGTGGTTTGGGGCAGCTGTGTGCAATACCATTGCACAGAGCAGGTAAGTTTAACCCCTCCCCGCAAAAAAAATTAGCCTTTGCAAATACTTTTATTAGAACACTTTTCATGATGGCAATAATATGCTTTCCCTTTCAACAGAAATTTAAACACAACCAGAGACTGACAATTTGTTCCTAGGTCATCTTGCAGGACAGCATATTTGGATATTTTCTTGTTGATGATGAAACAGGACATGCAAGCATGTGAACGTGTTTAAAAAAAAAGAAGGTGCCTGTACTTGCCATGACTGCAACTCTCCAGTCCACCAGAAACCTCAAAATTCCTATGGAAGTTTTAGCTTTCTGAATGCACCCAGCGCTGAATTGTAGGAGTCTGGGGGGTTTGGGGGAACTTTATGTGCAACATTCCTGAAAATATTGAGTTATTTGTGGGGGCTGATCCAGGTGCTAAGGTAGTATAGTAAATGCAGGAACCTTGTTGCGTTTTGTGCCTGTTTTAACTCATACTTTAGTTTGTTGGTGTGTGCTTTGTGTTTTTTTTTTTTTTTTTCTGCTGAAACAAGATCAAGACACAGACCAATGCTCTAAGTGTTAGAACTATTGATTACTGGCTTAATATGCTACATAATAACCTTGCTGTCACTTTGTACCTCAAGACAGCGCTTCTTTTTCTACAGTTTTTATAGAGGAGACCAAAATTCTAAGTAAATCATTGATGTTGGTCTTTTGCTTCCATCTGTCATATAGGTACAGTTGCTGAATGTCAGCAAGAACGATCTCAGATCAAAAATAAAGAAACTGCAATGAAAGTTCTTCGTGCAAATTTATACAATATGAAATTAGAAGAAGAGACAAATAAAAGACAGAGTGCAAGAAAAATACAGGTAAAGACTTAAAGGAGTTCATCTGACTCAAAAAAATAGTAAATGCACTGCTTTTTTTGCAAGTAATAAAAAAGTGTATTATTTATTTTTTTAACACTACAGTCTGTAAGGCATGTCATCCATGATCAGTATATGCGGATGCAATGCCTGGATCCTGAAAACACTCAGTAAGCTGTGTCTGCCTGTACCTCGTGGTTACTGAATGGCAAGAAGAATCAATGGACTAAAAGAGAGCTCACCAGCGTCCTTGCAGTCCATTGAGAACTACAAGCCATCAGCCACAATGGCTGATGGTACTTGTAGGTATTCATCAGAAACTGTAAATGAATGACGTGGCCGTGTGGGCAGACCCAGCACAGCTGTGCTACTTTTTAAATTATGACAGCGGGTGCGGGGAACCCTTCTGTTCTGTTGAAAGATAAATTCTGAACTGCAAATAGTTGTAAAGTCCACTGTTTAACTCTGTTATGGTTTCATTACATTATTGAACTAGTATATACGTCTAAATTTATAACAGCCTCTTTTCAATGGCCTATATACTCAAAGGAAGGGTGGGAGAAACCAATCAGGCCCTGCTGCATTGTATGGAGCTGTCAGTTGTAGGCTAGCACGGGTGTCGGCAACCCGCGGCTCCAGAGCCGCATGCGGCTCTTTTTCACCTTTGCTGCAGCTCCGGAGCACACTGCCCACCAGGTGACAGGCAATAGGGTTGCCGTAGCTCAGTGGTCGGCAAGCCGCGGCTCTTTACACATTTTAATGCGGCTCTTCTGTGTGCCGGGCACCCGCTCCCCTCCCTCCTCTCGGGCCCCCCGAGTCCCCTGCGGCGGTGGAGAGGGTGTCTCGTCTCAGCGGAGGAGAGCTGACCTCTCCTGCACCTGTTCCCTAGGCGGCGGTGCCGCAGAAGCTGGAAACCGGAAGTTGTAAACCGGTATTTGGCTTCACAATGAGGCTTGGAGCGCTGGTGCAGTCGCTCCATGCTTCATCTGTGCTCACCACTCGCCACAGAGGAATTTCTCCTCGCATTTGGCAAGCGGGCGAGAGTCTAATCATTGCATCGCAGTGCAACAAAGATGTCCTGGCACAAGGCTATAATTCTGTGTAAAAATGTTTATAGAGTATTGTATATTCTGCTTTAGTATTAGAGAGATAGATTTTTTAAATTAATGATTTTCATAACAAAGTTTGTGGAAACGTGGGCAGTATTTTGGCTGTAGCAAATTTGGAGTTTGAATTGATTCCTAAAGTGTATGTATCGGCTAAACTTTTTTCGATTATTTTTAGGTTTAAAAACCCCTGTTGGTTTATTTTTTGCTTTCTGTGTCTTGTTGGAAAGAATTAACTTCACTTTCTGCCCTGGAGACGCAACAGGAAGTGAGGGGAAATGTCTACAAAGTGATGGGAATTCTGCTCTTAGTTGTTACCAAAACAGATTTTCCTATTGGAAAATTTATCCTCAACACTTTTTGACAAGTTTTGGATTTCCCATCACTTTCAGTCGTAGCAACAGTGGTCACAAGGAAAAGTAGGGTGAACCTACCTAGTGGTGACACAGCTTTAGAGACATTCTAATCTTTCAGTACACTATGCAAAACAAATGTTTTAGCTGTACATACACCTTTCCAAGCATCCATGGTCATGTTTTATAAAGCAGGGAGTATGACTTTGACCAAACATTCACTGGTGATGAACTTAGTCATTTAAAACACTCGCTGAAGAAGACTAAACACTAAGAAGATTCACCTGCAGCGAATGTTTGGTAATGTCAAGTTTGCTACATTAAAGTGGTTCCGACGGTAGAAGGTTTTTTCACCTTAATAGAGCCAGTGAGGAAAGAGCGGGGGGTGGGGCTGAGCCACGCTCTTTGACTTACGGACACACGGAGGCGGCTTGGGCATGAGCACACGTGAATGCCCCTGTAGCAATTGGCTTGCTATGGAGGCACACGGCAGGGGAGAGGCCAGGAGCGCCCGTGGGGGACCCAAGAAGAGGAGGATTGGGGCTGCTCTGTGCAAAACCATTGCAGAGTTACACAGCGAAGGAAAGTACATGTGTATAGTTTTTAAAAAAAAATGTTTTACCTTTTTAGAATCACTTTAAAAATCTGCGCCTGCTGACTTATAAAATCTGTTTTAATTGCGCCCTGAGAGCAACGATCAATGATTTGCATGCTGGAAAACTTAAAGCTTGCATAAGGTGTGCTATAGGATTTGGTATTATTTCTTGTGCCTGATTTGGGAATAGTGCCAAAATGCAACCAATGTAGTGTATAGAGCCTAGAAGGAATGGAAATTCAGCTTTGATTGCCGATTCTCAGTTGGAGGGGATTCCCCACATCATACCTTGTCTTGCTGTTCACACAAAATGAGAATGTCCCCAACATGGGCACCAACAGAAATAAAAATGTAATAGTCTCTAAACGTCCCCACAGTAGTAGTAAAAAGTGCTGTCTGTCGAAATACAGAATATTTTTTATATATATATATTTTTTGGTTTCCATAGGTAGGCACAAAAGGACGATCGGAAAAAAATTCGCACATACAACTTCCTACAGGACCGGGTTACAGACCACCGTATTAGCAAGTCTATGCACAATATAGAAGCATTTATGTTTGGTGATGAACTTTTAGATGAAATGATTCAAGCTTCCAGTGATTTTGCTGACTATGAGTCTCTTGTGGAAATTATTTCAAATTAAAGATTATTGTTAGTATTATATATTTTTGTTAGGCATTAAAAATTGTTTTTTATTGCATATGGTGAACTCTTGGAACAAACGTGTGTTTTTTTTTTTTTTTTTGTTTTTGTTTTTTTTACCAGCTTTGGCTAAAGTGGGGAATGTTTATAAACTGTCAGGTTTTACTGATCTTTTTTGCTATCTTTGTCACTCTTGGGAGATATCATTTCACTTCATGGCTTGGTGATGGTGGCCACCAAGACAAGAGATCTTGATTTGCTTCTTTTGGTGATGTACCCTTCTCTTGCAGTCTTTGTGACAATAAAGTGGTTGTAAACCCTTTCATATACCCAGTGAAGTGACTGGCCTCAGGTTGATACACAGAGATGAAACAAATCCTGACATGCATTGTACCTTCATCTTTAGTATTTTCTTCTCTATAGCCATTCAAAGTGCAGAATTTATACAGCTTGTCTGAGCTGTCAGAAAACAAGGGGTGGGGAGCTGAAATTACATGCTGCAGAGCATGCATGAGGAGAGCACTGAGAGCTGATTGGAGGGAAGAGACACCCCCCCCCCTCCCCATTCACACAGCTCATAGGAACAGAGCTGAGGCTGACAATCACAAATTGTGTGCTGGAACGCCCTCCCCTGTCAACTTTTTTTTTCTCTTGGTGTCAGGAAAACTTTTCAGAAGTGATTCATGCTGATAGCAGAGGACTGAGGAGGCAGCAGACAGAAATTACACTTGGTGGTCTTAATTGAGATACAGTAAGTACACACTATAGAGGGACATGCTTTTTTCGTATTTCATGTCTGAGGTTTACAACCACTTTAAGCCCTAGAACACCAAAACCCTTTCAGCAAACCAGCAGGGCCCTGCTAATATCCACTCTTTTCTCAAAAGATATTTGGCTATATTTAATCAAGTGACATCGCTGCATTGTACATAGCCTTTCTCAGATAATGCAAACTCTTACAGCCAAAGTGACACTTCATCCCAACTGCTAAAATCGAAATCACTAGAGAGAAAAAATGCTGTCACATGACCTTGATTATATTTTTATCTTGCTCTGCACTGGCATGTCATGGTTATCTAAACTAATGCATACAGGGTTGCCTAAGGCACAAGAGGCATATAGCTGCTGTACATGCAATCCCGGGGTTTTAGTGCACTCAGCAGCCACAGATGCAGAGTCCAGCCCCACTGCCTGCAGCCTGGCAAAGTCTTTTAGCAGGCTGAAATATGCTGCTGCTGGACAGGGCTGAATACTAGTGGAACTCGTGTTTTAGGGCCGTATGCTCAGTATTCTGCGTTCTGGGCATTTGTTCCTGAATGCATAGAACATCAAATGAGAGTACCATTCAGTAAAGTGTTTAGCCCCATCCTAAAAGAATCATAGACTTTGACAGATTGCAGGCAACGGGGCTGGACACTGCACCAGTGTTTCTGAGCGCACTGAAATGGCAGGTTTGCATGCACAGAGGTCAAATGGCCTGTGTGCAAGAGGCCTAAATGAGAGCAGCTGTGTTACTGCCTTTTTCTGTTCAGTCTGAACTCCACTTTCATATCCCATACTGTTTATGAATAGGTGGATATCCCTGAATATAATAAGGAACATGTAATGGAACCGACCCAGACTGCTCTCGAATACTTCAGTTAGAATACCGCTTCCCTGTCTGAACACCGACAACAGACACCACAGCTAACCATACAAGGCTACTTTATTTGAACACAGATACAAGATATATACACTCAGGGGGACAATCCCCCCTCCCTGCATAATGACACAGGGCGGGGCAATCTACATTTAGTAACAAGAGACACACAGGTATTCAAACTTCACACCAGGAGACAGTCCCATTAGGAGGGAGGGCTGCTGGAGAGCCCCCCCCCCACTAAGCTAACGCACATAAACACATACATCCCATAATAGTTTTCTCCCAAGCCAGACAAACAATAGAACAATGGGATGCAGCCACATAACATTAAACAATCAACAACCCCCATCCTACCTATCTCCTAAACATGTCTACACAGTCTGAGACAAAGCCCACACAATATTAGGACAGATCACCCTCTTCCCCTAACAGGCACAGGGTGATTTAGACATAAGAGGGATATGGGGAGCTGAGACAGGGGTCTCCCCACCTCCAAAGTGAGCTGGGTTCCATGGACCCCCCACCAAAAGTGACTCCCATCACAGACAGAACACAGCAAATCAGTTTTACTCTCTGAAATACAACACAGCATTCACGCATAGAGAGCAACTTGTAGCTCAGTTTTCTACAGTTCCAGACTTCTAGGAGTCAGTGTGTACAGAAGGTAGGCTTTGCAGTAACACTTTTTCATCCAGATGAACCATCTTTATGGAATTTTGATGCGCTAAATAGGACACTGCGGTAGTGACTGATACCCACTGCATCCCAGGAGGCATGTCTTAGACAGCCCTTGAGTATTGCACAACACTAGGCCTTTGCAAACGCTGTGCTGGGTTGCTCACTGCGGGCTTCTATTGTACTTCTTATCGTTGAAATTCAGGTTATATATTTTAATTTAGTGATTCATGAGTTTAAGTGGGCCCCATAACCTCTAGCCAGTCAGTATAGCTGTGTCTTTCCCCTCCCTGGTGAGGAGGTTTGATTGGGTGCCCCAGAACAGGATGGACACCGCCAGGACTCATGTTACTCTTATATCTCCATCTGGATTCTAGATTAAATGCCCTACTGTGTTGAATTGCTTGCCTGTTTTATCGTAGTAGCGATCTCGACATCCCATCTTGCCATGTTACTGCCGTTGCAGATCAGCTGCCGAACGGATGTCTGTGATACTTTGAAGCAAGAAAAGTTAGAAGAATATCTGGACAAAGTGAAGGAAGTCGCTTTTTAGACAATTGTCACTGCATCAAATGTCTTTCCTTCCTATAGGAAGACTTACCCTCTATTCCTGTTCTGTTCTGGTGTCAACTTATATTTTGTGGAGTGTCAACAGTTAGAGATGGAGTCAATCTTCCTAAAAGGGAACACTGACCATAACAGACATTTGAAGGGCTATAGCTTTTCTGCCGTTTAGCAGAAACTAAACCACATGTGTTTTGGCCTTTCAAGTAAATCTTCAGTTTTCAGGCATATAATTCGCTTTCAATCACACAAATATGGCAGTTGCCACTATTTTTTCAGGGTAGGATTAATTCTCCAATTGCATGGGTGAATCTTCATTTTTATCCATGTTAATTGCATGTTTCTGTAGTACCTCATTTTAAAAGAAATGCAAGAGCCATCAAAAATAAAAATTCTTTATTTCATTTCCATATAACTTCACCATGTTTTATATTAGAATCCAAATTTATGCTGAATAAAATGTGCATTTATCACAAGTTATAAGCTTTTTCCCAGAGGGAAGAACATATTTATTATAGTGTTTAAAGTGGTTGTAAACCTTTACACTATACCCTTAGATCAGTGTTTCTCAACCGTTTTGTCTTCAGGGAACCCTTGGCAACAGGACCGAGATCTTGGGGAACCTCTGAAAAAAATGTCACATCTACAGTGCATGGAACATTGGATCTGATCAGTAAGCTGTAAATATAACAGCAATTAAGAGAATGTGTCAAATAAATTAAATATTTAAACAAAATTACCTCCTTAATGTGAAACTTGGGCTTGCTTTTTTTCTGCACAGATGCTCAATTCTGGGTCGAACGTAAGATAAGCACACACGAATTTCATCCTCAGCTGAAATTAAACGATTTTGTTCCTTGCTCTTGATGCTTTTTAAACAGGAAAAAGCTTGCTCACACATGTAGGAAGCAGAAAACAGCAGCAAAACATTTATTGCCTTTCTGTAAATGGCAGGATACTCTTCTTTGACTGAAATCCAGAATTTGTCCAAGGACAAGGGACACATCATCAAACCTCATCCTGAGTGTACGGTCGGACTGCAGAAAACAAATTTTCTTCCTGTTTTTTTAAACTCAAGTTCCTGACTGAACAGAAGACTCGGAGAAAGGGCTCCTCACCCAATCATACATTTATGTTGAAAGAGAAGGAAAATAATATTCAATTTTGCTCTGCTGTACATCCAAGTGGCTTTAAACTAGACTTGAAACTTGCTGGTATCCTTCCTCATTTCCAAGGCCAAGTAGCATAGGAAACCTCTCCAAATTTCCTTTAACAACATGGCTTTTCCAAAGATTCAATTTCCTTTTAAATCCAAATTTCTTGTCACTTGAAGTCAGGATATTTTCTTCAGAACCTTGCAGAGACTTGTTCAGGTTTACGTGATTAAAAATGTCAGCTAAGTATGCAAGTTTCTGCAGCCATTCTTCATCTTCAAAGCACTCAGCCAAATCTGACCTACTAATTTCTGAAAGTACTCTTTTAGCTCTTCTTACAGCTCAAACACTCTGTCCAGAACTCGTCCTAAGCTAAGCCACCTGATTTCTGTATGTAGCAAGAGAGTTACGTGGTCCTTCTTCATGCTTTCACAAAGTGTTTGAAACATTCTTGAGTGAACTGGTCTTTGTTTAATAAAGTTCACCATTTTTGTTGCATCATCCAGAACACTTTTCAGTTCTGCGCCAAGAGTTTTGGACATGAGCACTTATCTATGAATAAAGCAGTGTGTTGTGACAACATTAGGGTTTTCATGGACCCAACCATTGATGGGGCACCATCGGTAAAGATTCCAGCACAACCATTCCAAGACAGGCCTTGTGATTCCAGATAGGCAGACAAAACATTTAATATATCTTGACTCTTGGTTGTTTCAGGCAGCTCTTTGTAGCAGAAGACGTTTTCTTGAATTTCACCACTATTTACAAAACGTACAAATGCTACAAGATGGCATGCATTGGTGATATCAGTGGACTCATCAACCTCGATAGCAAAGCAGTTTTTTTTTCAGGATATCACACAAGAGCTCTTCCACATCATGTGACATATCAATACGCCGACTTATTGTACTGTCTGAGAGTGGAACTTTTTCAATTTCTTTTACTGCAGCTGCTTTTAGCATGTGA